TAAAAAATTAGGTATATAAGACTTTATTGTTAAAGTGTATAAACTTAGGTTATGACTTTTACTCAAATAATGTTTTAGTCAATTCCAAAAAAAAAAATTTTGTATGTTATGCTATGTTTTTTTAAAGCAAATTGTAGAAGAATTTATTAAAAAATTTTGTATGTTATGCTATGTTTTTTTAAAGCAAATTGAAATAATTTATTAAAACATGACTAAAAGCATTTTTTGGAAAAAAAGTTTTAATTTATATTAAAGGAATTCCCATAGCCCAAGACATGTTGTGTTCATATCTTAATCTAACCTTAGAAAATAAGTTTAAAGTTAAACTTGTTAAAACAAGTTGTTTATGATTAATAAAAAAAACCTCATTTTCAACACCATAATATTTTTTGCGAAGGATTTTTCCGGCTTGTAGATTTTTCTTTAAAAAAAACAATGGTCTAATCAATGCATTTATTATTAATATTATTAAAAATTAAGTTAAAGAAAAAAGAATTAAACATAGTGAAAAACTGGTTTTTTAAAGTTGCTATTAATATAATTTTATTCATACCTAAAAATAAAATAAGTTCAGAATGTTAGATCAAATCAACATCGTTGTTAATCATCAAATCTCCATTATTAATATTTTTGTTTATTAAAAGTAATTATTAAAAAAAAACATTTCTTTACAAGAGAAAGAAAAAAAAGTCAAGCAATAAATAGACCGGATAAAATTAAAGTAATGTTCACATTGTTTAATTAAAAAGTAAGATGAAGAATATATAATAAGATGATATAATCCTTATTTGAAGTCCTAAAATAGTTTATATTTTATATATTAGCCATAAATAGTTCTAGTAAGTTGATATATCTATGCAAAAAGATGAGCGTTGACCTTTCATATGAATTTTTATAAATTGTATAATAATTGTATAAAAATAATAGAATTGTTTAAAAAAGCTTAAAAAACTTGTTTTTTTAGTTAAATTTCTTTAGGTAAGTTTGTTTAGTTCAAAACTTATTTTCTAATGTTTATTTATGAGATATACTCTGACGCAACTTGTCTCAGCATTTAAGGATTTCTTTAAATTTTTTAGATTTCTTGACATTTAAAAAAATACAGCTATTACATTAAACTGTTTTAATTAAACAGCTGCTATTTCATTAAACAATTGCTAAACAATTTGAGAATAATTCTGCTATCAAATGAACTTATTAAATGAACTTTAGCTCTCATCTCAATCATCCTTGTAAAAGGCTTATGTAACATCAATAAGCAGTAAATTTGACATTATTAATATGCTGGAAGATTCTTGCATTGATATACCAAACTTACTGAGTATCGAGATCAATGTTGGTGACTACAAATATTAGTGAACTATTTTAGTAAGTTCTTTCCTGGTAATATAATAGTTCTTAAAGATGGTGCTGTGTTAGTTTAGAAAAACCTTTTAATTAGTCTTCGATATATTTGTGCTGTTTGGAAAAACGTTTAAAAAAAAAAGTCTTCGATATCACCAGATCCATTACTATGTATCTCAGGCCTTGTTTCAAGATTTCATTGTGTAACAAAATGCTAAACACTAATAAGCGTAACTTAACTCATGTTGTCTAAAAGTTAAAATAATTAAAATAAATGTGGAAGTACATTAAGCGGAGTGTTCCTACATTGACTATCTTATAGTCTGCTGCTACAAAGGAGTGCTGCTACATTGACTATCTTATACTCTGCTGCTACATCAAAATGCTATTACATAGACTATCTTATAACCTGCTGCTACAAGAATGTGCCGCTACACCAACTGAGGTTTTGATTTGAGCAAGCAACCTATTATTTTGGAAAACAAATTTATTCAACTTTTTTTGGTCTGTTTTACTAGCTTTCTTATTTTAATACTACAGTTTATGAAAGAAATTTTTCGACAGCCATGCAAGACTATATATATATATATATATATATATATATTATAGAAGCATCAACTATAGTTTCAATAAGATAGAACTAATAAAACAGACCAAAAAAAGTTTAAAAACTTGAATAAATTTATATATATCAAGCCTTTACAGGAAAGGCGTGCAGTTTTTTGTCTCATACAACCTGATCACGTTCTCTAACTTTTTAAGTTGGAGAACGTGATCACAGCCGTTTGAGCAAGTTATATTATATGCGTTACTGAAATATTGTTTTAAATTTGATAACTAAATAAGAAATTAAAGTAAACTTAAATAGTAAACAATAATAATAGTTTAAATAATTTATGTGTTGTTTTTATTTTTGTTTTTCTTAGTGGTTATTACTATCGGAAACAAAATTCATTAAGTCGAAGCAAAAAAAAAACATTTTAGGCGTTAAAAAGGATGACTTTCCCATATTTTATGTGTTTTTTCTTTTATAGAGGAAGGAGAAAATATGTATCGTCATCTGTTTGTAAAATATATTTGTATAATTATAATGTAACAAGTTTATATCAAGAATTAAATTATACGATCGCGATTTGCAAACTCTGGTAAAATATTAGGTCTTTAAAATTTTAGTTCATGCAAAGCTGTGTACTTTGTTTATGAGGAGCAAATTATTAAAAGTTTGCTAGCGAGAAAGTTACAAAATATAAAACAAAAACAATAAACTTATGACTACAAAAGTAATAACACTTTAGTCACTAACTGCATTATAAAAGTAATAAAACTATAATAGTGTTATAACATTTATAAGGCACTTATTACTTTTAAAGTTCATTCTTTGTTCAGACAACATTATTAATTCCAAGCATTTATTAAAGTAGAAAAGCATCTAGAAAAAATAAAGCAGATATTCAAATATTATTAAAAATGTCAGGAACTTTCACATATCACTTTAACAACGTTATAAAAAAGTACTTTATAAAAAGTATAGCATTATGAAAAATGTTTCATAAAAACGCGCGTTAATTTTAAAATCAACCAATAAAAATTTTTTCATTGGTTAATTTTAAAATTAATGCGCGTTTTTACAGTCCATTAGTAAAATTTTTCATAATGCTAAACTTTTAATACAATACATTTTCATAAAGTAGTTTGTCACCTTTTTATAAGTTACTTTAGTTTTAATATTATTTGAACATCCACTTTATTCTTCTAGATATTTTTCTACTTCAATTAAAATTTGGGAATACTAATGTTGCTTGAACATAGAATGAATTTTAAATGTTATAAGTGCGTTATAAAAGTAATAACACTATTATAGTGTTATTACTTTTGTAATGCAGTTAGTGACTAGAGTGTTGTTACTTTTGTAATTGTAAGTTTATTGTTTTTATTTTTTTGCTAACAAATTTAAGTTGATTCTCCCCTTAAAAACAAGGAACATGGTTTTGTATAAACTAAAATTTTGAATACTAGATATTTTTCCAGATTTTGCGTTTTGCATTCGCTTAATTCAACCCTTGTTCTTACATTAAAATTATAGAAATAAATTTTACAAACACATTGCAATTTGTATTTTTGCTATCCTCTTAAAAAAAAAATTAAGAAAAGGAAAATCATTTTTTTAATTGTAGATTTCAAACTGTTTTTTTTTTTGCTTCGTCTTATTTAATTTTGTTGCTGAATGTAACTCTAAAGAAACAAAAATAAAAACAGTACACAAATTTAAATTATTAATTTGTTTTTATTTTTTTCTATTTCAATCTCTTTTTATTTTGTTAGTTTTGTTTTTTTGTTTTTGAAACTTTTTCAGCATTATTATAAAACTTGCAAACGGCTGTGTTCACGTTTTCTGAAATATTATATTCGCGCGTGGTCATACGAAACAAAAAACCGCACATCTTTCTCGGGAAGGCTTATATATATATATATATATATATATATATATATATATATATATATATATATATATATATATATATATATATATATATCGATTGATGTTAAATTTGTATTACAATAGTAATACAAAACTCTATTTCGATTAAGAGTGCTCAATAATAAAGAAAGTAAACATCTTTCTAACTAGAGCGGTATATATATATACATTTATTTTTATTTACATATAGAAAAAACAACTTTTCATGGGACTAATAGTTTTATGCCTATACGGCAATCGGCACTGTATTTTGTAATTTTATTAACAGTTTGTTTGTTTTTGATATAGTACATGGCTGATGATTGCCGTATAGGCATGAAACTATTAGTCCCATGAAAAGTTGTTTTTTCTATATGTAAATAAAAATAAATGTATATATATATATATATATATATATATATATATATATATATATATATATATATATAATGTATGCATATAAATATATACATACATACATATATACATACATATACATGTGACCATGCTTTGTTAATTATCTCACAAAACGTGAGTATTAATGCATTATTTTTTAATATTTTATAATAATTATTTTTTAATATTTCCTGTTATATGCATGATTATATACTTTTATATTATTATACATTTATTAAATTGTATTTATTATAAAGTATAATTTATTTTATATTAAATATTTAAAATAGTAATAACTGTAAAAAAAAAAAAAAAAAAAAAAACCTTGTTACCTAAGGCTTGTAATGGCTGTTGAATTTTAACTAAAATAAATATTTTGTTTACATATTTAAAAAAAATATGTAAACAACTTTTTTTATATATTTCCTATAATGTTGCACTTGGAAGTCTGCAATTGCAAAATTAACCTATTTATTGCAGATAATATATATAAAAGAATAACCTTTCTTGTTTTCTCTAATTTGGTTGAAATTAAGGTAATGTAAAATATTTTTTTAATTCGGTTGAAGTATATTGAACTGACCCCCAATAAAATTGTCTTCTGAAAATAATAAATTTAGTTTGTTTGTTGTATAAATTAATTATATTTTAAATTTGGAAACCATTTTTAATTTATTAATACAATGATTTTAATGTTGTGTAAATAAATTAAAATTAATAATACTAAATTAATGATAAAAAAATATTTTTTTATCACTAATTTAGTAATATATATATTAGCAGTTCTAACATTTTTTTTAAGGCAAAAAATGATGAACAGTCCAACAGAACAGAAATGTATCAAGCTACATTAGATGTAATGAAACCTCATATCCAGAAGTTAAAAGATTTTATGTATTTTCATGAATCAGCTATAACCACATTCTGTTCAGAAATAAAAAAGCTTTGTCATCCGGAAAGAAAAAAAGATTTTATCTCAGAAACACACTTATTAGCACTTGGAAAATGTATAAACATGTTTGCTGTATTAGGATCATTGAAAAATATGAAAGCATGTCTGAATAATGATTTTGCATTTTATAAGAGGTAATGGCGATGTAGAAAATATTAGTATAGTTTTATTAAATAATGTATTGATAAAACATTAAGTTTACTGATAAATTCTCCCTTACATAATCAATTTTAAAATTACATCGAGGGACCATTGTTTTTAATCTTTTACTAAATTCCATTGTCTCTAATCACTTTAATAAATAGTTTACTGGGATTTTTCTAAAATATATATATTTTTTGAAACAAGATTACTGTTCTAGATCATGCACACTTATCTATAACATAATAAATTACTCACATTTACTTTCTCCATTTAAAAAATATAATAAATTCAGTTTTAAACTACAGTATTGTGATAATTGAGTAAAAATTTATTTTTTTAAAAAAATATTTGTTTATTCCCTTTTGAACAAACATTTAAAGTTTTCAATGTTTATGATAGTACTAAAAATATTTTAAAAAGTACTTGGTAAATTTTTAGAGCTGAGACATTTCTTAAACAGACCACAAATGATGCTCGAGCACTGCAAGAGTCACAAAATCTTACTATGTTTCTTGCAACCCATGATATAATTACTACTAAATTAAAAGCTGGTCTTGAAGATATAGAAGGAAGCGATGAAGTTTTAGCTGATATTATTCAGCAAGCATGCTATTTCTTTGAATTCAAAATGTATGTTCTACCAAAAGAAAAACATCTTTTACTTAAGGTACATTTATTTTTGCTTGGTCAACACTTGAGATTAAAAAACTTGGTCAACACTTAAGATTAAAAAACTTGGTCAACAATTTGAGATTTAAAAAATCAGAGTATCAAAGCACATCAAGTTTTTATAAAATAAAAATTCAATTTTATTTTAATTGTTTTTATGTTTTTATTTTTAAATAAATACATTTTAGGTTATAGGATTCACCTTGTTTCTATTAGACGGAAAAAATGCTAACGTTAATAAACTTGATCAAAAGCGAAGAATCAACATTAATAAAATTGATAAGTTTTTTAAGGTAATTTTTACTTTTACTCTTGTCATTTATGTACATTATACTATTTAAGTGTTATTATATTTTATTTTTAGTGTAATTATTTATGTATATTATACTGTTATACTTTTTAAAGTATTATATTTTTAGTGCTACTGTATTATACTTAGAAAAAATTGCATACATCTTTTTATACAAAATTGTATGTTAATTTTTATTATCCATATGATCCAATTTTGTATTAACCTTAGATTTTCCAACAAGTGTTTTCTGTGATAAATTTAAATATTTAAATAAAAAAAAATGAGTTTGTATTGATGCATATTGATTTTAAACTAAAGTTAAAGTTGACCAAAGCTATAAAACTAAAAACTAAAGTTAAAGTTGACCAAAACTATAGTTAGTAGAAGCTAAATGCTAAAAACAAGAGTATCTAAAGTTTAAAAAATTCACTTATTATAAACTAAACTACTAAATAGCAAACATTATAAGCTAAAAAAGTTCTTGTTTTTTCTTGCATCAATGATGCTTAAAACATGCATTTTCCTGTTTTTCCAGCATGTTATTCAAAAGCAGCCTTTTCTAGTTTTTCCAGCAGAGTCGACACTTTGTTATAATAGACTTTTATATAATTAGTTTTATGCTTAGACTTGTGTTTGGACTTTATATACAATGGTTTTTAAATATTTATACTTTTATAAATTTTTGATACAAACGTTAGTCATTTTAATTTATTGTATGATGAGTTGTTTAAAAAATAAAATAATAATATTAAATATTATATTAAAAAAAATTATTAAAAAAAAAAAGCATTGAATTTCTGACAACTAAGAAGGCTATTTTTATTCGTGATACAATTGTACCCAGTCTTAATCAGAGTTCACCATTCTTAGATTATTTACAGCAGTCAATTTTCAGTATGATTTTCCCTAGTTACCTAAGGCTTGCAATGACTGTTGAATTTTAACTAAAATAAATATTTTTTTTAGTCAATTGTTATTGCAATAATTTTTTTATATTCATAGATATGTTTCTATACTTATGAATAGCAACGTGCAAATTAAATCTCCTACTTGATATCTTTTGTATTTTTTGTCTATTATATCTTTTGATATTCCTATCTTATTTTTATAAATTATTTTCATGATTTATGTGTTGAGTTGAGAAAGGGTTTTCAAAACTAATGAAAGAAGTTAAAAAAAATAAACAGTAATCTTAACTATAATGACTTCTGAGCTTCTTAGTGGAGTTTAAAAAAATATTACTTACTGCTAATTCTATTCTCTTTCTCTTTAAAATTATGAACAGTTCTTGTCATATTTGAGCTTTTTTTTAATGATACCCTTTTTTTTTTAAACAATATATAAAACTGCTTTGTGAACATTGGTTGCATTTACTTCTCATTGTCATAAGGTTGCATTTCTTTCTCATTGTCATAAGTTTGCTTTTTTTTTTTCTGGTTGCTACTTGTAAGAGCTATTATTAATTTTATGGAAGAAATAAAAGTTTCTTTCATAAAGTTCATCTTTGTCAGACTCATTCTATTAAGTTATATATTTTTGTGGTTGTTGTTGCTTTATGTTTGAATTTTTTAAAATTTATTTAGTTTTTTTTCTAGGTGCATCAATGCTTTCTTTTCCATTATAAAATTTTTAAATTATTTATATAATCTGGAGCTTCTAAAGTTGTTCTGAAGTCGGAGCTTCTCGCCGTTTTCTACTTTTTCTCCACCTTTTTGCTCATATGTTTTCGACCTTTTCTCCACCTTCTTGTTCATATTCCTCTTCTTAATTTGCTTTAAAAAAGTTTAACAGGAGATGCTTCTAGTCTTTTTGTGTGTGAATTAATATATCGTAATTAAATAGAATATTGATATTATGGAAACTATGTGACTTGACTCAAGTATTGACATAAAAAAAAATTGAAGTTAAAAAAAAACTATCTATCAATTTAATTATTGCAAACATATTTGAAACTAGTTAGACAAAACTCAATAATAAATGAACATTATGAGTTCATTTATTATTGAGTTTTGTCTAACTAGCTTAAAATATGTTTGCAATAATTAAATTGATAAATAGTTTTTTTTTTAACTTCAATTTTTTTGAACCATAACTTTAACCATCTTAGGCAACTTAACCTAGAAAAAAGCAATTTACATATAATTCAGCGATTAATCGACTTTAATGTTTTTATTTAAAAGTAGCTTTCATTTATTTTATCTTTTATTCTTCAACTCAATTTTTAAACAGTTTGGTAGATATTGTTTAAAAAAAAAACTAATCAATGTATTTTAGTATTGTTTTATTAGTAACATAACATACAGGCATGTCTGCTGTCATGCAGTTATATATATATATATATATATATATATATATATATATATATATATATATATATATATATATATATATATATATATATATATATATATATATATATATATGTATATATAAATTTTATATAATGCAGATATATATTTATGTGTTAGCAATTACCAGTTGTTCCACTTTATGGAGATATGCAAATCTCACTTATTTCATATGTCAAAAATTGTCCGCATTTCGATGCATCTAAATGGAGTTGTGCATCTGAAAATGCAGAGGAGAAGATTGGCATGATGCAATACAATTTAACTGGAAAAATTGATTCAATTCATGATGAGCATGTTAAGTTTATGTCAGAGTTATCAAAAATAAATAATGAGGTATTGTTATAAAATATTTTATGCTGATATAATATACTTTATTGACTTTATTTTCAGAAACAGTTCAAATGCATTTTTTTGTTTATTGCTGTTGATGAAATAAAAAATAAAAATAATATGAAAACTATTTTATTCACTGTAATTTTGTTTTAATACATAGATACTACCTTTGCATTTGGTTGATTCATGTTTATCCATTTTTATATATATGATTCATATTTTATCAGTTGAACTTTCACCTTTGTTACATCCAGTATATAACTGACCATATAAAAATAAGTATAAATTGAAATTTTTTTTTGTTTCTGATTGTTATTAGTGCCTTGTTAAGTGCCCACTAAATAGCTGACCATTTATGTAAAAATACGTTTAAATCAACATTTTTTTTTGTTCTGATTATCATTAATGCCTTTGTCATTCTGTTTTGGGGCCATTTCACATGGAAGATCTAGTAGGGAATTTAAAAATTTAAACTTGAATAGCTAATTTTTAAATATGGTATGTTTTGATCTAAATTTGCAAATTTGCAAATTCATTTGCAAATAAAAGCATATTGAAAAAATAAAAAATAGTTTAACAGAAATTACTTTAAAGGGATCCCTAAGTGCTATAAAGATATGATCTCATATGAAAGAGCATTAAAAAAAAAATGTTTGATGTATATTATTTTTTCTAAAACGTAATAATGAACACACTAACAAATTTAATTTTCAAAAAAAAACACTTTTCTTCGATTTAAAAAAATGCGTCTTGTCCAAAGTTTATTGCCTCAAAAAACTAACGTTTGTACGTCAAATTAAACAAAGTAGACAAAATGTCATTATTGCAAATGTATTAGTTGGTAATTAAATTTAAAAGTAAATTTGTTTTTTTTTAACTAACACAAAATTACTTACAAGAATAAGTTTTGTAGAATTTTGTGAAAATATATATGTATATTAAAATATTTTTAATAATTTTTATTTATATATTTGTGTTGTAAGGGCAATTCCACGGCCAAAAATGAATAGAAGTCAAATTTTAAACTCTTTTTAGTCAGTTTTTAACAAATGAATATTGATGTAGACACATGAAAGTTTATTTAAAATATTTCCTTAGTACAAAAATTTATTTCAGTCATTTTAATGGTTTCGAAAGTGACGGTTATTCTCATTTTTGCTTGATAAAAAAAAATAATTATTGTAAAATGTTTTAGTTAAATTAACATTTATGTTAATTTTGCTATATTTTTTTGGTTCAAATTGATAAGGTTGATTAATTTCTAATAAAATAGATATTTTATTAGAAATTAAAATAAGACAGGGCTCGAGTTAACGCAAAAAAATCTAATCGCAAAAAATATATATTTTTTTGCTTTCTCCCCCCCCCCCCCCCCTCTCTTATAGCTTGCGCCGATGTGCGGTAATGGGGGAAAAAATTATCGTCAATAAATCAAAAAACATCGTCAAAAACTTAATAAAAAATTAGATACCACGTTTTTTATAATTTATTGTTTCTTGAATAAAGGACTAATAAAAGTTTAAATATAATTAAGTTTTTCATTTAAATGGTTGATGTTTTTATTCAATTTTTCTATTTCAAGTTTTCCAATAAAAGATGAAACAAAAAAATTTGGTTTAATAAATTGAATTATACTTCATGTTTAAAATAAGGCTTAAAAACGTTAAAGTAAAAAAAAATTGCTGGTTTTTATTAGCATTTTTATACTGTTTGAAAAAAAAAACTAATAAAAAAGAATTAACTAATAATATATTAATTAATAATTACATATTAATTCTTTTTTTATTAGTTTTTTTTTTTCAAACAGTATAAAAATGCAAATAAAAGTCAGTAATTTTTTTTTGCTCTAATGTTTTTAAGCCTTATTTTAAACATGAAGTTTTGATAAACAAAGATAAAAACCAACTTTTCAACTTTTCGCTTTAACGACCTTGTAAAAATTTTCCATGCAGAGATTTAATGTAATTTAAATTCAAAAATGTTTTACGTTGAAAGAAAATTTCCGCGTGAAAGAGCAAATTATCTATTCAGAATAATAAATTTTGTGTGACGTTCTTTATGATAAAAACATTACTTTTAAGAATTGTTAAAAAAAAGGCTAAGCTAGAAAAAAAGTAATTAATCAACCAAAAAAAAAACGTTGCAAAAAGATTTTTTTTAAGAAAAAACTAATCACAAAAGTGTGTGTAGCAATCGCGATCGCGATACGCTTAATACGAGCCCTGTAAGACTTTTTTATAAGTTCTAAACTAATTAAAACTATACTTAATAACTTTTTTTTAATGACGTCTTTCAACCGAAGGCTATTATACTGTTTTTGCAAAACTAATTAAAAAAACTTGATTAAAACTTAACTATTTAATCACGACTTTTTTTACTTGAAAATCGAAGTAGATAAAAAAACTTACATATTTTTTTTTATGCTCTTTCATATGAGATCATATGTTAGGAGCACTTAGGGATCCCTTTAAAAAAAAAAGGGTTTAATTTAAGTGTTTAAAAAAAAATAAAATTGGTGTTTTTATATCTATATGATAGTAATGAATATGTATAGGACATTGTACTATACATATTCATTACAACACAACACTTTCTTTTTCTATCAATTTTTTTTTTTTTGTTATTTCACCTCCCCAAGGCCGAGAAGGCCACTACAGACGCGGAGGCTACTTAATTGTGGTTATAACCCTCTCTCAACTCTATAACTCCGAAACACGAACCTTGATGAACAAGGTCGCTGCGCGGAGAAACAAGTTGAGCGCGGTACTACCAGGGAGATTGTGGGGATCGAACTCGGAACCTCTCACTTATGAAGCGAGCGCTCTACCACTGCGCCACTAACGCAATTTACAATTAAAGAAAAAATGTACTTTGTACATTTTTTCAAATGCAAATTGTTATTGATTTATTAATCAAATTTGTTATTGAGAGATGAAATAGACAATTGTTATTTGTTTTTATAATTTAAAAAAGTATATAAATAAAAATAAATGTAATTTTTATTTGATTTTATAAAATCAAGATGTTCAAAACTTTTTAGTTTACAAGTTAACATGGATTATGGATAAGATAACTATTACACAAAAAATTTAAAAAATATTTTTAATTAATTTAAATAAAGTACTTGATTTAAAATTGATATTTAGGTCAAAATATGCCATTTGGAAAAAAATTAGTCTTTCAAATGGAATATTTAAGCTTGATAGGTCTTTCAATTTTTTTTTTTTTTTTATTTTTTTTTTATTATCTTCACTTCCAACAAGGCTGCAAGCAACCACTAATTAGTGTTGGAAGTTACTGGAAGAGAAAAGATGAAGATTGAATAGCAAGATAACAATTGACAGACGACTTAAAAGATTGCAAATTATATGAATCAGGAAAGCAAAATGAAGGAAGCGAATTCCAAAGAACTGATGTTTGAGGGGAAAAAAAAAACGAATAAGAGTTTTAGGAGCACTTAGGAACAGTAACAGAAAAAGGATGAGACTTCATTGAATGACGAGTAACACAAGAATGGTTTTAATAGATGGCACAAGAGACGCTAGCTCTTTAGAGCAGTGCCCATTATAGTATTTGTAGAAAAGAGAAAGAGAAGCAACATTACAACAATGTGACAAAGGTTGAAGGTTGGCTGCAAGAGCAGGTCCAACTATGTTTACAATGCGTTTTTGCACCTTGTCTAAAAGAGAAAGGGCATCATTAGAAGATCCGCCCCAGATATGGCAACAGTATTCTATACAAGGCCGTATTTCAGATTTATAGAGATAGAGAATAGAATCCAGAGTAAGAAAGTGACGAGCTCGATAAAGAGATGCAACTTTAGCATATGCTAATTTTGCAACGGATTTGATATAAGGCTTCCAAGAAAGATCAGAAGTAAGAGTTAATCCTAGAAGATGAAGGGTAGATGACTCATCGAGCACATTACCATTCATAAATATAAGAAGGTCAAAATTATAGCGATAATGATTTGCTGAAAAAAAATTGAGTTTTATCTGAATTAAAGTTCACCAGCCACTGTGAGTCCCATGCTGTAGCAAAAGTGAGATCCTTTTCAAGCTCAAATGCCCCTTGCAAGCAATCAGAGGGAGTTGGCTTCTTACCGTGACAAGAATAAATGGTAGTATCATCAGCGAACAATGCCATCTTAGATGTGAGAATATCTGGAAGATCATTAATGTAAATTAAAAAAAGTATAGGGCCTAGGATTGAACCTTGAGGAACCCCTGAGGTTACAGAATAAGAAGAAGAGTGCTGTCCATCAAGGACAACTTTTAAACTATGATTAAAAAGGAAGGATTCAATAATCTTAAAGATGTTTCCAGATACACCGTAAGAAGAAAGCTTATGGAGAAGACCAGTATGCCAACCTTTATCAAACGCTTTAGAAATGTCAAGAGCAATGGGCTTAACCTCTCCACCTTTATCTGATAAAACCTGCGATAAAACCTATCGCTTATTACTGATAGAAAATCAGCCGTAGAACGAGAAGATCGAAATCCATATTGATGATCAGAAAGTAGGTTATGAGATTCGAGATGAGAGATTAAGTGTTTGTTAATTAAAGATTCAAAAACCTTGCTTATGATAGGAAGAGGACTAATGGGACGATAGTTAGACGAATCGGATGGCTCTCCAGAATTTTTGAAAATAGGGATAACGCAAGCTGTAGAAGAGTCTAAGCGGGAAATCACTTTAGATACAGAAGCTGGAGTGATATGAATGTCAAGCAATGGGTCAACCTGTTTGACGGCTATATCAGGTAGAACGCAACTAGTGGCATCAAGAGATGATATTGATGAAAAGTTTTTGGCAAACAATTCAGCTTTGTCTTCAGGTGAGGTGATAAAGTCTGAACCATACAAAAGAGGTGGAATTTCAAACTTGCCCTTATTATTGATACTATTAAAGATTCTCCAGAAGTCACGAGAGCCTAATTTTTGTGATGAAATACGAGATTTCATGATCTGAGAATAGTGGGCTTTAGCATTGGACAAAACCTTTTTACAATGGTTCCTAGCAGTAATAAACAGACGTCTGTTTTCTGGAGAATTGTTTTGCTGATAGATATGGAAGTAATGGTTTCGATTGGCAATTGCAGCAGCACAATGTGAGGAAAACCACGGAGAAGAATGAGGCTTGACCTGAAATCGTCGAGAGGGAATAAAGGATTCCATACCAGCCTAAATCCACGAAGTTATGTAAGAAGCACATTTGTCAACAGGGAGATGAAAGATTTATACCCAGGGGCCATCACGAAGAAATTCACAGAAAGAGTTCCCAGTCAGCTTTAAGGTAGTTGTAAGATGTACGATAATAGGGGATTCTGATGGTAAAGAAGAATGAGATAATAGTTTTAGAGAGACCAAACCATGATCAGAAGCATCTAAGGGTGATTGTGAAAAGTCACCGACAACAACAATATTGGCTGATGGATAAAGAATGAGGGCTTGGTCAATATAATCAGAAATAGCATCAAGTAGTCTTGAGATGAGGGAGAGCGAAATAGAACAAAAAGAAAGGTGATAGAGTGAAGTGGTGCTAAATGAAAGCACATAAAAGAGTAGTCTGTGGATTCAAACCTAGTTTCCCAACAAATGGGTGAATTCTTACGAATGTAAATGCCTAGGCCAAGCATATGACTATTGGAGTCTTTACGAATTAAAGGAAGATAACCATCAACACTAAGATCACAAGATGAGACAGCTGAACTCAAATTAGTCTCTCAAAGAGAAAGTAGGTCTGGTGAACTTTGCAAGAGATAAGACTCAACTGTGGCCTTGGCAATGCACACCAAAAGTACAAACAGGGACACCATCCATGCAAAACATGGCACTGTTAGTACTCTGATATTTTTCAGCTGTTGATGGAATCAGCCTCTCTGAGAGCTACCACAGAGTTCGGGAAACCTGACTACTAGCCGGCCTCAGAACCATAAAACTGAGTTTTAGAGCTGTACCCTCATTTGGAGATAATAGAATGAGTTGCCTAGTCATAAAAACAGAGGCAAAAGCAAAACCCATGAATTGAGTCAAGAAGATTCAGCGTTCAACATCCTAAACTGGAAACAATGTATTTAAAAATACATCTGCGCCAGCCTAATAGATTAAGAAGGGGTGCGAGGCTGGTCAACAGATAGAATCTGTTTACCCCTTAAGTCTTTGCCTAGGAGGCCTTCTACAAGACAGCAGCCGGATGCATTTAACATCTGCCCAAGATGAGTATTTTTATTGAGACACTATCACTAGCCTTTACTTAACTAAGAGCCCCAAGGCAGGGGGTGTTTTATGTCGGAGTTTGCATCTCCTAGCCTTTGCCTAAAAAGGCATATCCTACAAGGCAGCAGGACATGAAGCAGATTGTACTGGGTTACATGTTACCAGTAGCAGGATAAACCTGACCTGACCATATCATAGGTTTTGACCATAGAAAAGTATTCTAATAAATTCATGTTAAATATTGTTGCATTTTAAGTATAATAAAATGAATTAACTGAAGAAATTTCATTTTAAGGTTAATTTAAGTTTAATTTTTTTTTTTTTTTTTTCAGTATAACAATGCTAAAGTAAAGAAGACTCTTTCTATTGAAGAATGTCGTGGACTAACAGATTTAGCTTTGCGTGGCTTGCGATTAATATCTAGTTGGAATGCACAAGTTATGGAGCTGGCAAGAATTTTTTTTGTTTATAATTATAATTTTATCTTTTGATTGATAAGGTAAAATTATAAGTTTTGTTTTTAGTTTTACTGGAAACTACTCCATCTTACTGATAAATACTCTAATCCGCAATGTCCTGAAACTGCTGAAGAATACGAGCGTGTGAGAGATTTTTCTAATATAAAAATTTAAATTTTATAATTTTAAAACTTACTTGTTATATTTTATTCTATTTATCTCATTCGTTCTATTTAATTCATTTATTCTATTATAATTTTTTTTTTATTAGGCAACTCGTTATAATTATGATAGTAATGAGAAGTTTGCACTTGTACAGGTTAAATTGATTTTTAATTCATTTTCTTTATTTCCTGTTTAATTTAGTTTGAAAACTATATTGTTATATATAATGTAATAATAATAATAAAAGTAAAAATGATAATAATTATAAAGTTAAAAATAACATATTGTTGTGTACAACTAAATTTGCTGAAAATAAATATTTACAAAAACTTCTAAAATATATATAAATGTTTACAAAAATTTCTAAATAATTACAGACAATGATAGTATTCAGCACAGTATGCTGTTATTACTATTTTTTTTTTTTTTTTTTTTTTTGTGGTGATATTTTTTTTTTTTTTTTTGTGGTGACAAAATATTTTTTCATAATTATTTATTTTTTGAAATTTTTTTTTCAGACTATGAGTATGATTAAAGGACTTTCAGGAATAATGTTTCGTCTTGAAGGAATTTTTTCAAATGCAATTCGTTGTTTTATTCATGCTGAACTGCAAGACTTTGTCCAAAATACTATGCGTGAACCATTGCGAAAGGCTGCTAAAAGTTCCAAAAAAACTCTAATGAAAACGTGAGTCTTAATTATACAATAAAATATATATATATATATATATATATATATATATATATATATATATATATATATATATATATATATATATATATATATATATATATATATATATATATATATATATATATATATATATATATATATATATAACATGAGCCTCAATTATACAATAAAATTTAATTTGTGCACATGTTTTACACAATCATTTTCTGATATTAATGCTCTCAACTTGTTTCAAATAGTAAATTCACCCTCATAATAATGCTTTATGGAGGTATATATATGTATATATAAGAAAGTATTAAAGGTGAGCTCTATTTATAAAATAGAGCACCATTTTTGTTCTGGCGACTATATATATCATTATGAACTTAAAGATGCTTTTAATGGTTATTTGTTGTTCCATAAATTTTGGCAATGGAAGCTTTGCTGGACATTTTACAATAAAATCGTGGCATATACTTATAAATTCCTTTGTGTTGCTTATATCTACCAATACACCTATCCAAAATATAGAAAACAGTTGCTATTTCCTGAAAAATACTATCAATATGCTCAATTGTTAATTTTGTTAAATATATAACATATGTATATTATGCAGTTAGTTCATAGAAACAAAGCTTTTTGAATCATGTTTGAAAACATTGTTTACATTGTAATGAACTGCAGTTAGATGCAAATAAATCTTGAAATTTTTTGAGTAAATGTGGTAACAAAATTTTTTGCAACAAAGCGTGGTACACAAAAGCAATGTGTTACACAACTGAAAAAAAAAACTTAAAGCATTTCACATTTTAGTTATGAAATTTTGAAACTAATTGAAACTTTTAAGAAATTAAAAAAGTTTGTTTGAAGTAGGAAACAATGTTCTATTTGTTTTAATTATTTTAAAAAAATAAAATTAAAAACTTTTTATAGTTTTTTTAATATGTAAAATAACAGACTAGTTTGTTTGATTTTCCAAAAGTTTGGTTGCATTTTTATAAATTCTGATAGAAACCACATAACTAAAAATTTTCAAGTACAACACTTGGCTTAATATAATAATAATCATTAATTATGTTTTTAACATTCCATTATTTACTTCAATAGTTCTATTATTTAGAGTCATGATGGCGATCCGGGAGACAGTTATTGATTTGTCAAAATCAGCTGTTGAAGACCCTGCTGTAAGAGGAGAAAAAGATCCTAAAAATGGATTTCGTATTGATATTCCATTTAGATCAGTAGGGCCATCATCAACCCAGGTTATTTTTAATTTTTTTTTTTTGAATTATATTGTTAGAAGCAAATTAATATATAATTTCCAAGCTTAAGGGAGTTTTCCACTTTATGCTTTTGTAATATAATTAATTTATGCTTTTGTATGAATTATATATATATATGTGTAAACTTTATTTTCAACAACTGGATTAAGTTTATTATCTTTGATTGGATGTTAATAAAATTTATTTCTTTTAGCTCTACATGCTCAGAACCATGTTGGAGTCACTCAGCTCTGATAAAGCAGGCAGAGGAACAAAAAGTTTCAGAAAAGATCTAGACAGCTCTACACTTAATTCTATTGATGTATTTTTGCGTAGCTCTTTCTTTTATCCTTATCTATTGAAGTTTAGTCAATCATTAAAAGAATGCTCTGATTTATCTCAATTATGGTACAGAGAGTTTTTTCTTGAGTTAACAATGGGAAAACGTATTCAAGTAAGTTAATCATGTATTTACATATATTAAATTAATCATGTATTTTATATGTATATATATATATATATATATATATATATATATATATATATATATATATATATATATATATATATATATATATATATATATATATATATATATATATATATATATCAGGGCCTATTCTAGGAAAAAAAATTGGGCGGCAGTACCCTCTTTTTCGGCAGACTTTAGCAGAAAATCTGCAGTTTTTTCAAGATATTTGCCGTATAAACATAAAAAAAAGTCCTCAAATTTTAATTTGGACGGTGCCCAAATATGGTCGACGCTGTCGAAAACGGTCTAGAATAGCCCCTGTGTGTGTATATATATATATATATATATATATATATATATATATATATATATGTATATGTATGTATTTATGTATATATATGTATATGTATGTATTTATGTATATATATATATATGTATATATGTATATGTATGTATTTATGTATATATATATATATATATATATATATATATATATATATATGTATGTATGTATATATATACATATATATATATATATATATATATATATATATATATATATATATATATATATATATATATATGTATATATATACATATATATATATATATATATATATATATATATATATATATATATATATATATATATATATATATATATATATGTATATATATATATATATATATGTATATATATATATATATATATATATATATATATATATATATATATATATATATATATATATATATATGTATGTATGTATGTATAAATGTAAAATTTGTTACTAGTTTCCAATTGAGATGTCGATGCCTTGGATTCTGACAGATCATATTTTACAAGCAAGTGATGCAGCTATGATGGAGTAATAAACTTTCCTGTTCTATGTTTTTTTTAGGGTGAATCATTTCAAAACTTTTGTATATATAAAAAAATTTATTTATAAAAAAGTAGCATAATTATTTAAAATTATAAGCTTTAGCTGGTTAAAACTAATATTATTTTCAGAGCCGTTTAAACAAGCATCCTTGGGCTAAAAAATTTGGTGCAACTTTTAACACATTCAAGCCCCAATTATTTTATTCAATCATCTAGAAAATTTTCACCATCTAAATTTTTATTTAAAAGATTGTCTCTAATGTTTCAAAGTAACTTTTAAAGTATCGCAGCAACATAAACATATTATAAATTACAAAATACACTTTGATCAAAATTAATTTAAAAAAAAATGCTTGCACTTTTTTGAATGTATACAAAAACAACTTTATATAAATCAGCTCAGGTATAATTTATAAAATATTAAATTTTTAAGTGTCTTAAATTGAGCCTCAAATATTTAACACTCAATCTATTCATATAATATCAATATCAAAATATAAAATGCTTTATTTAGAAATCATAAAACATTAAATGACACTATTATTTACAGTTTAGTTTATATATATATGCATATATATATATATATATATATATATATATATATATATATATATATATATATATATATATATATATATATATATATATATATATATATATATATTGTTATTCACCTCCTCAAGGCCGAGAAGGCCACTACAGACAAGGAGGCTACTTAATAGTGGTTATAACCCTCTCTCAACTCTATAACTCCGAAACACGAACCTTGACAAACAAGGCTGCTGCGCAGAGAAAAAAGTTGAGCGCGGTACTACCAGGGGTGTGGTGGAGATCGAACTCTCTCTCTCTCTCTCTCTCTCTCTATATATATATATATATATATATATATATATATATATATATATATATATATATATATATATATATATATATATAATAACTTCATAATACTTAAGAATCCCTTTAACAAAAAATACTCATATTTTGATCTTCCAAGTTGTCAAAGAGTGGAGCAAGGTTAGAGCTTTCTCCGGAGCCTGCTCCACCTAGAAATATTTCAGCTCCAGCTCTGGCTCAGCTCCTTGTAAAAACACAAGCTCCAGCTCCAGAGCTGCTCCAAAGCCTTGGTTTATTGTGAACAAACATAATTAATTTCTTACTTTATTTAATAAAGTTAATCTTTTTGATTTTTAGTTTTTTAAGTTTGTTTATTTATTTATTTTTTTCTCTTTCTCTAAGATTTTCTCTTTTTTTTTTGTTAATTTTTTTGTTAAAGTTTTGTTGTTTTTTTTTGTTATTTTTTGAATACACTTTTTTTTTTTTTCAGCACATTTTTGAAATGCTCAAGTTGTCAAAACATGCAAATTGACATAGTCGAGTTATAAAAACAAAATATTGTAGGTGGTCAGGAATGGTGTGCAGTCATTTTTTCTTAGTCTATCATTGCAATTTTTTGCAAACCATCCTTATTTGGCATAAGTATAAACATATAAATATTTGGAGTTAGCACCATTTCTGGAAGTAAGTTATCTCAAACATTAAAAACTGCTGCATCCGTCTATGGTTATTATATAAATGATAAAAATGATATAATATAAATAATAAATGATGAGCTGCTTATATCAAAAAAAAATTTAATACTTTAGTGTCTTTTAAAAAAAAATTCATTTTCTGTTTTCTATGAAAAATAAAGTTCAAAATCTTAAGTTTATATACTAAACTGAATTAACTAATAATTTTGGAAAACTTAAAATAACTATAAAATAAATGCACGCAAAATATGATTTGGACAAAATAACAGTTAGATGTTTTTTTACCAGACAAGTGCCAGACGATTTCCGATGTCTATCTGCTGTTTTGAGCCCTGGATATAAGGGTTAGATGTTGCAATTGTTACAAATAATTTGGAAGGTCAAAAATAAACTTTTCCATCTAAATTGAAATACAACAGCCAAAATCTTTTACCTTTTCTTCCACCCAATAGATTTTTATAAAAAATCGATTGAGTTGCATAATCTGTTGCATAAATCTTTTCAAGTTGCGCAGTATCTCTTCAACTGCTTTCTTTGCTTGATATATACATTGATCAGTGTTCCATGATTCTAAATTCTATGTACCACATTTTTGTTATGCTTTGTAAAATAGATTTAATTTAATTTGATCATTCAAAAAAAAATTTTTTAAATTCAATTGTTGAAATAAATCTAATTTAATTTTTTCAAAAATCATTAACCCTTTCATGCGCCGGGTTGTTTTAGAACAACAAATTAAAATAAGCTTACCTAATGCAGATAATGCATCCAAACTGATTGAAAACAATTTTTTTTTCATTAAGGATAGTTGATTAGGGCGTAAGAAAAAGTCAACCTTGCTATTTTATTGCATAACTGACATTTTAAAGATAATTTTTATGGGTGAAGGCGGTGCTATTAGAAGTCATCAAATTACTATTAATTTAAAGGATTTATAATTTTGATGTTGTTGTGAAAAAAATATATAAAATTAACTTAACAATGTACTGTTCTTACTACTCATTCATTTTTTTGTTTAATTATACCTTTTTAATCTAATCAATGAAATTAATTTGTTGTTGTACAACAACACTGCACGCTAATGGTATAAAATCCAATCCGTTATTATTATTGTTTTTGCGATAAGATTGTTTATGTAAAGTAGTATTTTTTGGTATTTATTTGGTAAAATATACTTAAAAAATAAAACATTGTTATTGATATATACTTAATTTTAGTTATTGATCATTGTTATTGATATATACTTAATTAATATATATATATATATATATATATATATATATATATATATATATATATATATATATATATATATATATATATATATATATATATATATATATATATATATATATATATATTAATATGTATATATATATATATATATATATATATATATATATATATATATATATATATATATATATATATACATATATCTATGTATATATATATACATATATATATATATATATATATATATATATATATTAATATATATATATATATATATATATATATATATATATATATATATATATATACATGTTTATACAAACTGATAAACCTTTTAGTTATTTATTTTTTAGACCTTAAAGTTAAATAAATAATGATACCTGTAAAAAAATTTTATTCTTCTAAAAACAAACAAAAAGTTAAAACCCATTTAGTATATAAAGATGCTTTGGTCATAAATTTTGATGAGAGCGATGTTGATAGTGATAGCAATAATAGTGATTTAGATGGTGCAAATTATGAAAAAGATTTGTTCATGTACAGTGATTTTACTTGCTCAGAATCTGAGTCTATTGTTGATGAAAGTTCTGATGATGAAAGTTTCACTAATAAAATAACTTCAGCAAATAAATTTTTCAATCATGTACATCGTTGGCGTAAAGTTTCTGTCCCAAAAGAAATTGATGCTTTTAATGGTGAGCCTTTTCCAGAACCACCTTATCCAGAACTAACACCTTATCAGTACTTTAAAAAACTTTTTAGTTCTGAAATATTTGATCTAATTGTAGAACAGACAAATCTATATAGTGCAAATTTGACTGGTACATCAATAGCAGTGACAAACGATGATATCGAAAAATATGTTGGCATATTAGTTTTGATGTCAATAATTAAACTTCCACATCAGAGGTTATACTGGAGTAATGAAACTCGTATACCAAATATAGCAGACGTCATGACTTCGAAGCAGTTTGAGAAAATAAAACGCTATTTGCATTTTTCAGATAATAGTAAATCGCTTCCCTCAAACCACCCTAATTATGACAAATTATTCAAAGTGCGACCGCTTATTCAACTTATTTTAAAAAACATCAAAAATATTCCACAAGAAGAAAGTCATTCGATAGATGAACAAATTTTGCCAACAAAAGGAAGATCTTTTCTGAGACAATATCTTCCTAAAAAACCCCATAAATGGGGTATAAAAGTATGGGCCAGATGCGGTGTTTCCGGAATTGTATACGATTTTGAGATTTATTGTGGAAAATGTTTGTTGAATAAAGATGAACTTCCAGGTTTATTAATGGGAGGCAATGTGGTTTATCGCTTGACACAAAGTTTGCCTAGTGGTGTTAACTACAAAATCTTTTTTGATAACTATTTTTCATCTATCGATATTCTTCGGTTGCTCAAAGAGAAAAATTTTTTGGCTGTAGCAACAATCCGTAAAGATCGTTTAAAGGATGCTAGTAAAAAGTTACTTAATGAAAAAGATCTCAAAAAAGCTGGAAGAGGCTCCTCAGACTATATTGTTGATGTAAATTCAGGAATTTGTATTGTAAGATGGTATGATAATAATATTGTGCAACTCATCTCAAATTATGTAGGAAATGAACCAAGTACTCCTGCTAACAGGTGGTCAAAAAAAGATAAAAAATTTGTGACTATTGATCGACCCAAGATAGTTGAAATTTATAATGCTCATATGGGAGGAGTTGATTTATGTGATATGCTGCTAGAAACATACAGTGTGAGACAGCGCACCGTAAAGTACTATATGCATATTTTTTATTACTGTATCGGCATATCTGTAAACAATAGTTGGCTTCTTTATCGTCGTCATATGAATCAACAACATGTTCCTACCAAGAATCAGCTATCACTGTTACAATTTCGAACACAAATTGGAGACAGTTTGTGTAAAGCTGGTAAAACTTTATTACTTGCAAAGCGTGGGCGCCCATCACTTGCTGCAGAAAATAAAGTAGCTGCAAAAAGACGCCCACCCAACATTGAAAACCCTTCTAGAGATATAAGATTTGATATGTGTAGCCATTTCCCAGTATTTCAAGAGAAACAAAGTCGCTGTAGGCAGTGTAAAAATGGTTTTACATCTATTCAATGTATGAAATGCAAGATAAGCTTATGTCTTTTAAAAGGAAGAAACTGTTTTAATGAGTTTCATGGAGTTGACCAATAATATTCAATGTTTTAATCCATAATTAGTTATTTCTTGTTGTTTTTCAGTATCCCTATTTGACTTTGTTAACACCCTTTTTGGCTGTTTTTTTTATTTTAATATTATTACTCTTTTAATAAATGTAGTGTAGCATTAATATTGCTAAAAAGCAAAGTTGTTTGTTTATTAAAACTAACCGTTGACGGGCAGTGTTGTTCCATAACAACAAATTCAAATGACACCTTGAAATAATTTTTTTTTATTTTTTTTTTTATTTGTCATATTGACATAAATAAAGTTCAAAAAAACTTAGTTTAAATTTTTTTTTGTTATGGGATGATAATTAGAGCATGAAAGGGTTAAGAATAACAGTAGTATTTAATATTAAATATTTAAGATACATCCTTGGATTACAGCCATTTAGCCAAATGGATAAGTTGTTCTAAACAATAAATTAGTGTAAAAATTGAAGTTATGGTAACCTTTTGCATATATATATATATATATATATATATATATATATATATATATATATATATATATATATATATATATATATATATTTTAGATATGTTCTACCATAACTTCAATTTTTACACTGATTTATATCTTTTGTATATATATATATATATATATATATATATATATATATATATATATATATATATATATATATATATGTGTGTGTGTATTTTTTAGATATGTTCTTATACCTCTTGATTTATACAATGACAGTGCAGATTGTGCTTTAAATCGTTTTAAGAAACAGTTTCTTTATGATGAAGTTGAAGCTGAAGTAAGTATGTGAGAACAGTTAGTTTACAATTTTAAAAGTGTTAAAATAAACAATTTTCAGTTAATGCAATGTATTTTGAGTTTACTATGCATGTAATATATAATTTTATTTGTGGTTATAATATGAAAGTAGATGTTTTCAATTAACCAGTCTGACCTGCAGACCATAAGTAATAATAGTTTAATAAATGCATATTAAAATAAAGCATTTTAAAATAAGTTTATAATCTGAATTAGGATTAGTAATTGATTGAGGCTCTAGCCAAATCTGTCTTTTTTAGCAACCCAGAAGTATTCCAGAAATTTTTTTTTAGTTAAATCTAATAAAATAGTTTTGTGGAGTTTTTAAAACCAACAGACCGTTTTGTGCATTAACATATGTGTTTTAAAATTGTCTTTAAAAGGCATTACATATTGATGTGCATCAACCGCATCATCATCTCAACAGAAATAGAAATACATAATATCAAGTGCCAAGACAGGGTTGAGCATTTTGATGTTGCACTTTATTTTGCAACTTGTATGAACTGATGTTTTAAAAGATTTAGTGAAATAGATGGCTTTTGTCCTTCACCTGCATTGCTCCGATTTGATACTCCATAATTGAAATAAAATTAAATTTTGCTTCTAAGGAAAATGTTACAGAATTGCTTGAAGTTTTTAATTTTGTGATTTTTCAAAAAATGACTTTATATTGACATGAAGGTTGATTCCATTTAAGATTTTGGCAAATATTGACTTTAAATTATCAACTAATTGTTGCAATAAATTAACTTCTTTTCTAAAGCTTGTTTAAGTTGCAGGCATAAATTTTTTATCTGGTCTTTGTAGCTATACAGGTATTATGCTGTTCCTCACCTGTTTTCTGTGTTACCGTATAATTTTTTTTTTTTTTATAGTTTTAAGAGACAAAGCAATACCATTCAACTTTATACCAAGTTCTTATTGCTCTAGGAGATGACTTGATTGAATGCAGTTGCCAATTTATTTGTAATTGTTTTCTTTAGTTTTAATACGTACTGAAGACCAGTATAAGCATTTTATAAAGTTTTATTGATTACATATTTCGGTCGAGACAAAGAGTATAAAAAAATAGTTTTTTATCTTTAAACAATGTATGCTAATCATAAGTCAAAAATTTATAAGTTGTAATTTCACAAAATAAAGTTTTAATTATAAGACTATTTAACTTTATTAATCGAATGGAATTCATTTTTCAACGAGCATTATAACTAATATACAATAATGCTCGTAATATAAAATAGTACTCAAAAGTTTAGCACGCAGTAGAATTAAATTTACTTTTTACCATTATTTTTTCAGTCTGTAAAGCTTTAAAAAAACTTTTCTTCTAATGATCAGTTAACGTTATAATTTACACACACACATACACACACAAATATATATATATATATATATATATATATATATATATATATATATATATATATATACAGGCCTTGTTACGAGATTTCGCTGCGTAACGGAAAAGCGAAACGTGAATAAATGTAACTTTACTCAATAAAGATATTTACATTGTTAAAAGTTAATTTACGTCAGTTGCGTTTTTATTTCATTGTAATTAAATTTAATGACATTAAAAACTATTGTTAGTCTTTGAAACAAAAAAGCTTTAAATTGAACAATGTTGTTATAAAAAAAAAAAATTTCAATGTTGATTAAAAAAAAGTCTTCTTGTATTAAAATCATATACTTATTTAAACTTAATTTTTTTGCTTTTAAACATTCGTTTTATGGTTGTTTTTTTTTTTATTTTTTTTTAAATAATTTAAATTTAACACTTGTTTATGGTTGATTTCTTAAAGGGATTTAAATGTAAACGCATAATTGGGTTTTCCCCTTTAAAAAAAACGTCTGTACTAACTGGTTTTGATAAAATAAATGTTGTAAAGAAACAAAATTTACTGCTTTTTCGGCTTTGTTTTTTTTTTTTTTCCATTAAAATATTTTATTTTTATGTACAGTGAAACCTTATATTTTTTTACTCAAGCCAAAAAAAAAATAGTGTTTTCAGTTTTAAGATGTTATAAGCAGAATTTGTTTTTAACAAATATCATTATAATTTTGAAATTTATGTATCTTATATTTATAGCTCAAGTACTAGTTTTGTTTTTAAAATAAAATAAAGATAAGTTGGGCTTTTAAAGAGTTTATTTACTGATCGCGTTATTTTTAATAGGTTTGAATTTTGGTTTGTTCAAGGTTGTTTATTAATACGTCCTTGGTTTGTTTTATAAAAAAAAATTCTTCGGCAACAGCAAAGGGAAAACCCAAACTTAACATTTATAACTCGAGTTTAAAAAAAAATTGACGTCATTTATAAACTTGTATTTAAAAAATGAATAATGCGCTTCTGTAAATAATGAATGAAACTGTAAAATAATGGAAAAATAAAAACTGGAAAATAATGCGCTTTTGTTAAGCGCATTATTCAGACCAGTATTTGGAACTTACCTGAAACTTAACTAAAATTAAAATAAAGTTATGTAATACGAACATTTTAAAGTAACTTGAATTAAATTTATTAAATCTTTTTTTACTTTGGTAATTTTATTATAAAAAAAACGGAGCATTTTAAAATTAAAAAATTTTAAAATGCTCTGTTTTAAAATTAAATGAAAGAATTTTAATTAAATTTAATAAATTTATTTACTAAAAACTATAATTATTAAAAAAATATTTAAATTTAATAAAATAAATTGAAAATATTTCTTTTTTTAAATTTGATTGTTTATAAACTTATTAAATCTAATATTTAAAATTAAATATGATGAAAAGTTTAAACTTAAAACACTTTATTTTCTTTAAGTAATTTTTAAAAACAAAAAAAATTATTAAACAAATTGTTTCTTTAACAAAAAATCTATTAGTTTTTAATTGTGGTTAAATGCTTTTACTTACGACTTTAATACTTCTGAATGAACGTCACATAAACGATATAAAAAGATAATTTAAATATTCTAAAAGATAAAAGTTTTTGCGTAACGCATAACTGCTGAACGCGTAGGCAAATTGCCTTTTTCGAAGGCAAAATGCGAGCTGCGTAACGCTTCTTAACAAGGCCTGTATATATATATATATATATATATATATATATATATATATATATATATCCAGGCCTTGCGATGAATAAGAACTGCGCGACGCATAAGCACGACGCGATTTTTGACGTCATTAAATTCTTTTTATTTGCTTTTCATATTTATCGACATTAACTGCACCAATTTATTTAATTACCGCAAAACTGCTTTAAATCGTTTATGTAGAAATGTTATTATTTAAAAATGTTTTGGAATGTTTCGTTTTTTAAAATGTAAAAACATTTGTTTATTTTCTCGACGTTTGTCACGTTTTGTCTATACTAAACGAATAAAAAACATTATAACTTAAATTTAAAAAAGATTATAAAATATGCTAATATTTGATTTTTTTTTTCTTAAATATGTAATTTAAAGTTTTTCAAATAATTATTTTTTCTTTTTAAAAAGTCAGCGAGTAATAAACTGGAAATTTTAATATTGTACGATTAAAAACTGTGCAATAGCTAATATTTTTACAAGCGATTTTATATAATATTTATTTATTTATTTTTATTTATTTTCATAAAGCGGTTGATAAGCACAATCACTCGTATTAATAAAAAACTTAAACGAACGTTTTGAATAGATTTTTAATGTTAACAAGGAATTTTATTTCTATTAAAATAAAATAAAATGTTAGAATAAAAATCTTATAGGTATAAAAGAAATATTTCAGCGAAAAAATTATTCTTAAAAATTATTCTTAAAAATTATTCGAAAAACTATTGACGTTCTATTTTTCAGCAGCTGTTCTTGAGCACGCTTCGATGAGTTTCGGTCACTTTTAACATAAAAGCGATCGTTATTATTTAAGTAATTTTTTTGAGTTACTTTTTACAAAAATTTTAATAACTGTACTTTTTTATTGAATCAAGTAGAATACGTTTTGATATTAATCTTTTTTTTTTTTTATTTGCCCTCACCAATTTTTAAAATGTTTCCTCGAAATCACTCTTAAATACTTTAAATACGTCTAACAGTTAATAAATATTTTTAAATCTATGGAATAATTTTAAAACCTATCAAACCCCTGTAAAATAATTATTTAAGTTTAAAATCTAAAACTAAAAGAAAGTATTTTTGTTCAATTTTATCGACAACGTTGCTATTGCTGAATAATTTTATTAAAATGTTAGCTTAACAGATTTAAACTTTTTTTTAATTTTTGAATTTTTTCTACTTGTAAATAATGAGCATATTTAATTTTTTTAAATTCAAACTTTTATTTCAACTGCGTGCGGTTTTTAAAATACTTTATTAAATGTTAAAATAATCGTAAATTACTTCATTAAAATTCCGCTCAAAAATATCTTTAAATATACTCAAACAAAAAATTTTTTGCTCGACGCAAATAGCCCTAGCTACACGCAAAATCGCCCTTGGACGACGTAAAATTCACATCGCCCGACGCTTTATCGCAAGGCCTGTATATATATATATATATGACTAGGTCAGCCCAAAGTCGACAAGCTATGTCTCTATAACCTTTGTCAAGTCGACACTTTTCATAAGTCGACAGATTTCCTGTCGACTTTACGTTTGAATGAATTTTAGTAATGATTAGTTCAATGGAAATTAAAAAAAAAAGATACCATTGTAATGTTTAAATTATACTCAAGAGATTTCTATGAAAAACATTAACAAAAAAAAACACGGAAAACTATAAACAATAAATTTTTTTAAAAGCGCGTATATTTACTTGTGTTACATATACGATCTATAGATCGATAGTTAAGAGATTGTATTTTTTGTTTGAAATATAAAGATATATTTATTATAATTTTTGTTTAAAATATAGATAAACTATTTAGTTAAAATAATATACGACCAGTTTTAAAAAAAAATTAACATTTAGACATATAATATGTTATTTTTCAACTATAAGTAGACTTATTCTACTCGTAAATCTTGCGTCAAGTCAACAATAATAAATATATAGACTTATATTTTAATATTTCTATATTTTTATAAATTTTTTTAATATAAATATATGTAAAAATGACAAATAAACTTTAAAATATGCGTATAAAATTTATTTCTACGACGTCAAGTTGAAATATATGTGCATGCGTTAAAATCACAAAGTCGACAAATTTTCTATTTCTTTTTAAAAAGGCGCTTGATTGAATATATATATATATATACATATATATATATATATATATATATATATATATATATATATATATATATATATATATATATATATATATATATATATATATATATATATATATGTTCATTTTATCAAAATATATATATATATATATATATATATATATATATATATGTTCATTTTATCAAAATATATTAGTAGCCATTACAATTGACAAAAATAATATCTGTGAAACATTAGTAAATAGTTTTATTAATTGCATACTTGAAGTTAATACCTGGTATGATGTCCATTAGCATTCAAACAATTATATAAGCGAGTAGGAATAGAGTGAATAAACTTTTTCAAATATTCAGGAGTCATAAGTTGAGTCATACTTGCCTAATTTTTTCTTGTAGATCATCCAAGAGGGTCTTAGTTTCTGGACTTCATTTTTATGATGATTCCAGCAGTTTTCAATGGGGTTGAGGTCAGGTGAGTTACCAGGCCAGAGGTGTATGAAGTATTTAGTTTAGTCAACTTGGCCACAGCCGTTTCCGTGTTTTGAGATATTAGGCAACTGTTCCTATGTGGATAGTGAATGCAATCAAATATCTTTTATTTTAATGATTGTATGACAATATATTTTAATAATTTTTTAACATATATAACAATATTTTTAAGGATTTTTTAATTATTTTACATTAAAAACTTGTTACATCAAGTGCACAAATATATTTTATAAACATGTAAATTATAGGAAAAACAGTCTTTTATTATGCTTAAATATGTATCACTTTTTTTCTTTGACTTACATAAAACTTTGTTACTGAAAAATTTGAATAACAAACTTGACTTATTTCTTTATTTTCTTTCCTTAAAGTTTTGTTAAGCTTAGTTTTTTCTATGATAATATCTCGAGTTGTCTAAACTAAACACTTTATGCGTAGATAAACAAGGTATAAAACCTCACACGCTTTGTGGGAAGACTTGGATTGCATATTTGTATTTTATTTACATACTTTTAAAAAGATTTTTTTTTTACAGGTTAACTTGTGTTTTGACCAATTTGTGTTTCGACTTAGCGAAGACATTTATTCTCATTACAAGCAGCTGGCATCCAGGTTTGCTTTAAGTAAATTACTGTTTAAATAAGAAAGATGATTTTATGTAATCATTGTATATTCTTCATATCATTATACAGTTATTTTACATGTATATATATATACATATATATATATATATATATTTATGTATGTATGTATATATATATATATATATATATATATATATATATATATATATATATATATATATATATATATATATATATATATATATATATCAGGCCTTGCGATGAATAAGAACTGCGCGACGCATAAGCACGACGTGATTTTTGACGTCATTAAATTCTTTTTATTTGCTTTTCATATTTATCGACATTAACTGCACCAATTTACTTAATTACCGCAAAACTACTTTAAATCGTTTATGTAGAAATGTTATTATTTTAAAATGTTTTGGAATGTTTCGTTTTTTAAAATGTAAAAATATTTGTATATTTTCTCGACGTTTGTCACGTTTTGTCCATACTAAACGAATAAAAAACATTATAACTTAAATTTAAAAAAGATTATAAAATATGCTAATATTTGATTTTTTTTTTCTTAAATATATAAATATTCTTAAAAATTTAAAGTTTTTCAAATAATTATTTTTTCTTTTTAAAAAGTCAGCGAGTAATAAACTGGAAATTTTAATATTGTACGATTAAAAACTGTGCAATAGCTAATATTTTTACAAGCGATTTTATATAATATTTATTTATTTATTTCTATTTATTTTCAAAAAGCGGTTGATAAGCACAATCACTCGTATAAATAAAAAACTTAAACGAACGTTTTGAATAATTTTTAATGTTAACAAGGAATTTTATTTCTAGTAAAATAAAATAAAATGTTAGAATAAAAATCTTATAGGTATAAAGAAATATTTCAGCGAAAAAATTATTCTTAAAAATTATTCGAAAAACTATTGACGTAGTGAATTTTACAAAATAATTAATACTGAACAGCCCTAATATATATATATATATATATATATATATATATATATATATATATATATATATATATATATATATATATATATATATATATATATATATATTGTTGTTTTGATCATTTGATAATAATCAACTCTTTTTCGATTTGAGAGTGATCAATATAAAGTGAAATAATCACAAAATAGATCAATAAATAAATAAATAAAAGGTTAGATGAGAAAAAACAACTTTTTTATGGTACTTAAAGTTTCATGCCGTTTTCGGCACTCATCAGCCATATATATGGCTGATGAGTGCCGAAAATGGCATGAAACTTTAAGTACCGTAAAAAAGTTGTTTTTTCTCATCTAACCTTTTATTTATATATATATATATATATATATATATATATATATATATATATATATATATATATATATATATATATATATATATATATATATATATATATATATCATTCACTAATATTTGTGGTCTTCAAAGTAACTTTTCTTTTGATGAGTCTTCTCTCTTGCAAAGTTCACCAGACCTACTTGCTCTTTGTGAGACTAATTTGAGTTCACCTGTATCATCTTGCGATCTTAGAGTTGATGGTTATCTTCCTTTGATTAATAAAGACTCCAATAGTCACATACTTGGCCTGGGCATTTATATTTGTAAGAATTCACCCATTTGTTAAGAAACTAGGTTTAAATCCACAGATTATTCTTTTATGTACTTTTGTTTAGCACCACTTCACTCTATTCTCTTTGTTCTATATGGCTCTCCTTTATCTCAAGACTCTTTTCAATGTAATTTCTGATCAAATTGACCAAACCCTCTCTCTTTATCCATCAGCCAATATTGTTGTTGTCGGTGACTTTAATGCTCATTACACTAAATGGCTTAGCTCTAGTTTCATTGACTCTGCAGGCATTAAAGCCCACAACTTTTGCCTTTCTCAATCTCTAACTCAACTAGTCAATTTTCCAACTCCCTTTCCAGACAACACAAATCATTTACCTTCTCTACTCGACTTGTTTCTGATCCTAGTCAGTACTCAGTTTCTTCACATTCACCCTTAGGTGTTCCTGATCACAGTTTGATCTCTCTAAAACTATTATCATTCTTCTTCATCATCTAAATCCCCCTATCATTATACCTCTTAAAACTAACTTAAAGCTGACTGGGATTTTTTTTTCCGTGATTTTCTTTGTGATGGCACTTGGGTAGAAATCTTTTATCTTCCTGCTGAAAAATGTGCTTCTTACATAACTTTTTAGATTCAGAATCTTTTATTCTCTCTCAACAATTCCAGGTCAAGCCTTGCTCTTCTCCAAATCAAAACCATTACTTCCATATCTATCAGCAAAACAATTCTCCAGAAAACAGACGTCTGTTTGTTACTGCTAGAAACTATTGTAATAAGGTTTTGTCAAACGCCAAACCCTGCTATTTTAGGTCATGAAATCTCTTATTTCATCACAAAATTTAGGCTCTTAATTATTTCTGGAGAATCTTTAATAGTATCAGTATTATTGGCAAATCTGTTATATCACCTCTATTGTATGGTTCAGACTTAGTCACCTCACCTTAAGACAAAGCTGAATTGTTCGCTAAAAACTTTTCATCAATATCATCCACTAATAGCGTTCTACCTGATAAAGCCGTCAAACAGGTTAATCCATTGCTTAACATTTGTATCACTCTAACTTCTTTATCCTAAGTGATTTCCTGTTTAGACTCTTCTACAGCTTGTGGTCCGGACAACATACCTGTTATAGTCTTACAGAAGTGTTCTCCATAGCTGTCATCTATACTTTCAAAATTATTTAACAAGTGCTTATCAGAGTCTTGTTTTCCAGCTTGCTGGAAAGCAGCATCTGTTATCCCTATTTTCAAAAATTCTGCAGAACGATTTGATTTGTCTAACTACCGTCCCATTAGTCTTCTTCCTATCATAAACAAGGTTTTTGAATCTCTAATCTTGAATCTAATAATATACTTTCTGATCATCAATTTGGTTTTCGATCTTTTCGTTCTACGGTTGATTTGCTAAAAGTAATAACTGATAGGTTTTATCATGCATTAGATAAAGATGGTTAAGGCTATTGCTCTTGACATTTCTAAAGCTTTTGATAAAGTTTTAAAATGTTGGTCTTCTCCATAAGCTATCAACTTACGGTGCATCTGGAAACATTCTTAAGATTATTGAATCCTTCCTTTCCAATCGTAGTATAAATGTTGTCCTCGATGAATAGCACTCTTCTTCATATCCTGTAACTTCAGGGGTTTCTCGAGGTTCAATCCTTGGCCCTATATTCTTTTTAATTTACATTAACGATCTTACAGATATTCTCACATCTAAGGTGGCATTGTTCGTTGGTAATACTACCGTTTATTCTTGTCTTGATAAGAAGCCAACACTCTCTGATTGCTTTGAGGGAGCATTTGAGCTTGAAAAAGATCTCACTTGCTACAGCATGGAGCTCACAGTGGCTGGTGAACTTTAATTCAGATAAAATACAATCATTACTGCAATAATTTAGATCTTCCTATATTTATGAACATTAATGTACTCGATGAGTCACATGCCCTTGGATCATCTTCTATGATTAACTCTTACTTTCTTTACAATCTTTTTTTGAAATTATATATAGAATCCATTGCAAAATTAGCATCTGCAAAGGTTGCATCTCTTTATCAAGCTTAACACTTTTTTTCTTCTAGATTCTATTCACTCTCTCTATAAATATCAAATACGGCCTTGTATGGAAAACTGTTGCTATATCTGGGGAGGATCTTCTAATGATGCTCCTTCTCTTTTAGAGAAGGTGAAAAAATGCATTTTAAACATAGTTGGACCTGCTCTTGCAGCCAACCTTCAATCATTATTACATCGTCGTAATGTTGCTTCTCTTTCTCTTTTCTACAAATACTATAATGGGCACTGCTAGTGTCTCTGGTGCCATCTATTAAAACTTATTTTTATGTTATTCGTCATTCAATTAAGACTCATCTTTTTTCTGTGACTGTTCCTAAGTGCCATAAAAACTCTAATTACTCTAGTTTCTTTCCTTGAACATTTATGTATGTATGTATGTATGTATGTATGTATGTATGTATGTATGTATGTACTCACTGTTTCAACCCTCAGAAATAGCGTCGGCAAATGCCGAACTGCCGACCTTAAAGTGTTTGAGGTCGGAAAATAATTGCCGACCTCGTTTCTATATTTTATGGTAAGACCTTTGTATCAATTTTTTTTTGCCGACCTGATGCCAACCTTTAAAAGATTGTTGTCAGCAAATTTTTGCCGACTCCATTTTTCCTAATTCCGAGGGTTGCTGATTAGGATTAATAAACAGATACTATGAAGTTTATTTTGAAAATACTCTTTTCTTGCTTTTTTACTATCTAAATCCATTAGAATGCTTATAAATTGGAAAATGGGTATAGACCCTTCAAGTATATTTGGTTGAGAAAGCCTAAAGTGTTTTCACTAGTGAAGCAAAAAGACTCTTTTAAACTATTAAGATGCAAAATATCTTCCATAAAGTTGTCTTCTATTTCACAAGCTTTAATTTTCACCTGTTCTTGATCTTTTAACCAGAAGTATGAGAATCTTAAAGAAACAGTTTCCACAGTCCACAATTTTAATTGCCTATTTTAATGATATGCAATTTTGTATCCCATTATAAGGCTGCATGTAGTTAAGTCGAGTATTTTTAGTTTTTGTAGCTGAAATGTTTAGTTATCAATATTGTTAGACACGTTTGAGTAGAGAAATTTACAAATATAAAATTAAAGATGTGGTTTAATGTACAGCTGGTACAGTTTTTTTTTCCATATAAATATCTCAAGATATTTGATATCTTGAGATATTTATATGGAAAATTTAAATAGAAAGCATATCTCAAGAAGTAATTTTGGTGCTTTGACTCCAAAATTACTTCTTGAGATATCCCAGCTTTCGATTACCAACTCAAGCTGCTGCTTTTTTTTGTACTTTGAGGTTGTTAGATATTAATACTCCAAGGTCATGCCCAATGCATGTTGGAATTAGATTGTGCCTATTAC